TGTTTAAATTACTTAACAGATTTGAGGAAATTGATTTAATTAATGAACCGAAGCTCAAAATTGATTCAATTACTCGAGGTCACAATCTTAAATAAGAAAGAGAAATTGTGAACTATTTACCTCGGCATCATTTTTTATTAAATCGTACGGCCAATTTATGGAACGCTTTACCGGAAACTGTTGTTACTTCAAAAACTGTCAATCAATTTAAGAATAGATTAGATAAGTATAACGCCAAATCAAAGAAGTTTTAACTAAACATTTTTAATATATATTTGGATTAATGCTGTCAAAGTGTGATAAACCACACTCTCTGGATTCGTCCAGTTACAGTTTAACTACTAACTAACTAGCTAATATATATATATATATATATATATATATTTTATATATATATATATATATATATATATATATATATATGTATATATATATATATATATATGTATATATATATATATATATATATATATATATATATATATATATATATATATATATATATATATATATATATATATATATATATATGTGTGAAGATCTGCGAGGAAGAATGTTTATTTGCTCTATAGGGTTCGGATTGTTTTCTAGTTCCTTTTCAGAGGTTAAAGGAGTTTCATTGCTACCATTAGGGATTGAAGGATAGTTATCGATGGCTGTTATTTTTAAATTGTTGTTTGATGTTTGTATTATCTTAGGTCTTATGTTTGTATTATCTTTTGTAGGTCTTGTTCTAATGGGAGCCAGCTGTTTAGTAGACACTGTAGTCTCATGACCACTAGGAAATCTCACATAAGCATAATGATAATTTGCTTCAATAAGCTGAACCTCATTTATTGAATCTTCATATTACTTGGCATCACATTTCTTTTTATAAGTACAGGTAATGGATTGACAAGCTATGAAGGAATTGAGGACCCAGATGATGATCTTGGTTGAAAATTGAAAAGACATTCGTATAGACTACAATAAGTGGAAATATATAATAGAGATCTTGTAGCATAAAGTGCATCAGGTAGAACTCTTTTCCATGATGATACAGGCAGATTTCAAGATTTCAGAGTGAGTAAAATTGACTTCCAAATAATTCAACTTGCCTATTTCCAGTCGGGTTGTAAGAGGTTGTTCTGCTAGTTGTGATCTCTTTTGATAAGAACCAGTGCTTTAATTCAGATGATATTAATAAGAATCCATGATCTGAATGAACATAGCTAGGCAAACCAAACATGGAAAATAGTTCAGCTAAAGAGTTAATTATTGTCTGAGTTGTCATATTTTTTATAGGATAAGAGAAAGCAGGAGTATTTGTTTACAATTATTAGCATATATTGTTCAGGAGTTGAAGAAGATAATGGACCTTTGCAGTCAATAGATATACGTTCAAATGGCTGAGTTGCTTTAATTAGGTGCACATCATTTGAACGATAGTACTTGGGTTTTATTTCTTTACATACTCTACAATCTTTAAATATTTGCTTTACATCTACTGAATAAGGGAAGTTTCTTGATCGAATAAAATAATGGAGGCGAGTAACGCCACAATGGAAAAGTGCAGCATGCAGATCATATAATGATTCTAAACTTATTGCTGCACATCTAACTTAAGTAAATGTATCTGGACCACTATTACATTGGCCAGGACAATAATGAATATCATAAGAATACAGAGACAAGGCTATTCTCCAACGCATTATTTAATCATTCTTTATTTTACTGCTTGATTTATAATCATACATAAATGCCACAGACTGTTGGTCAGTGACGAGAATAAAATGTCGACCCAAAAGAAAATGGTTTGCATGGAAGATTGAACAAGCTCATTTTTTAATATTTCAAATGCTGATATTTGCTGCTGACTGAGAGGGAATTGAGTGACTGATTTCAAAGGTCTAATTTTATCTGAGAACTTTCTTATCCATTTTGCATAGTATGAGAACATTCCAATAATACGCTGTAAAGACTTAGCATTATCAGGTGGAAGTAACTCAATGAGAGGAGCAAGTCTCTGAGGATCAGGTTTTAAAGAGTCATAAGATATATGGTAACCTAAAAAATCTAAAGTCTCAGTTGAAAATACACACTTCTCTTCATTAAATGTAATTCCAATATCAATGGTAGCTAACCTGAACTTAAACAGATTTTTATCATGTTCTTTCTGACTATTACCACATATTGTAATGTTATCAATGAAAGGAAAGCAGTCAGTTAGTTCATATGTTTTAACAAAGTCATCTATTTTGCATTGAAAATATCCATTGGTAACTCTTAAAGGCATTCTAGTATATTGCCACAACTTATTGTCAGCTTCGAAAGTAGTATATGGATGATCTTTTTTAGGTCAAAAAATTATTTTTATTTTTCTATTGCTTTTTTATGAAAAACAATTAAAAAAAAATTTCAGTTTTTAATGCAGTTTTAATAGTATATAAATAATTTTTAGTTTATTTTAGCTACCTCATTATTTTTTCAGGACAATAAAATGAATTAAAAAGAAAATTTTAAAACTTTTTTACATAACTATGTGACGTAATTGGCCCTCAGTTACTAACTGTTGTAACTATCGCTTAATTTTTGAATGATTGAACTTTTGATTTTTAACTTGCTATTTTAATTTACGTGAGGAAAACGAAAAAACGAAGCTTAAACTTTTTCAAAAAGTTGTTTCTTTTCAAAATTCTTTTTAACTTTTAAAATAATAAAAGTAAAGATTTCAATAATTTAATAAAAATTTTATTAAAATCTGTTTAAAACAACCCATAGTTAATGTAATTTATTTATTAAACATATTTTTTTTTAAATTATACTTAATGATAAAATTTTTTTTTTAAATACATATTTTTTTAAATATAATATGTTTTTTAATCAAAAAAATATAACATTTTTAAAATTTTGTTCACCCTAATTATCTCTTCTTTAATTATCTCTAATTTGAAAGGCATGTTAATATTTTTTAAATTCACTTTAAAAATTATTAACCTTTAGTAACAGATAAATGAACAGATTTGCTAATATTTAAATCAAAATTTTAAAGTTAAAATAATAGTAAATAAATTTATTAAATGCTCATGTTTATATATTCAATTGTTTTACTAAATACATTTATTAAATGCTTATCGAATTCGTTTATTAAATGCTTATGTTTTTAATTCAAATACAAGGCGTAAAACTATTTTGTTGATTTTACAAATATTACGCGATTTAATATATGTAAATATATTATGTAATGTAAATATTGATTTAAATTGTTAAAGTATTTTAACATTTAATTACTAATTAATTATAACATTAATAACTACTAAAAGTAAATTTACCAAAATATAGTTAATAAATATTTAAAATATTTTAAACAAGTTTCAATAGTTATTTACTGATAGTGTGGTATTTGCAACAAAAGTGTTTATTAAAGTCTTAAGTAAAATAGCTTTCTAAAAGTAACATCTTCCTCTAGTAAATTCATGTATTCAAAAAATGCCTTTAAATCAACTCCTTATTATAGGATAAAACTAAACAAGATAAACATAAATGATTATTGAAAAAATGACTATTAATTATTGTTGCAGCACCCGTTTAACTTGGAGAAAAAAAGGAGGAGGAGGGGGTCAAACATCACTCCCCCCCTCTCCTTCAATGTTGCGGGAAAAAAAGTGGTATCCATAAATAAACCCTAGGTTCTTCACTGTAGTGACAATTAGTAAACGACTGGGGCTAGTATTTGACCTGGGCCAAAGCCGGGTTCATGGCTGGGGCTGTATAAATATTGGTGAATATTGATATGATATATATAAAAACAAGTCAATATGTACCAATGTTTATGCAGTCCCGTCCATAGAACCAGCCTTTGCCACAGTCAAATACCAGCCCCGGTCGTTTACTAGTGGCAATCAGTTGACAATCTTTCGTGAAATTAGCAAACAATTCTGGAAGTTCGGTTTTTATTGTTCTTAAAGCTGCAAAAGTTATGGATGGTCTTTTCCCAACATAATTAATGGTAATACTCTCATGCAACTCTTGAAAATCTGTGCTAAGAATAATATCTATGCATAAGTTATCTAGCACATGCAACTTGACTTTGTTATAGATTTTGTTTTGAAGAGTTATTGAAACATAACAATATCTATCTACTTTTGATGATAAAGAAGCTGATGCCATTCCGATTACACTCTGTTCATAAAAAACATCTAAGTTGAGTAGAGCCACTAGTTTATTGTTAATGAAACTTTTGTTTGTACTCCCACAATCAATTAAATCTTCTGCTTTATACTTATAGAGAGAGTTTGCTGAAGTTGATATGGTGACACAAAAGTAATCATCATCAATTTTAGGAATAGCAACAGAAACATTAGATGATTTGTAAAGTTTTTCAAAATGACCAATCTTTTTTACATACAGATAGCTTCATGAGCAGGACATGTATATCACATGTATGTATATCACATTAACATAACATAACTCTATGTTATATATGAAAAATAAATAGAGAAACTTTAAAAGTACAGAATTTTAAAGTATTAGCAAAGCAAGTCTTCACTTAAGTTTACATATAAGAAAAGTTAAGAATTTCAAATTGCAAGTTTTGAAAGAAAAAAAAAGAAAAAAAGAAGCACTTTATTATTAAGAAGAAGATTAATGACAAAATTAAGAAAAATGATAATTAAAACAAAGAACTTTTTTTTTAGTTGTTGTAAATGTTGTTTATATGTAGATACTTTCTACCCAAACCCAAAGTCCATTTATTTGCTGAAGCTATAATATACTTAATACTGAATTGTATAATATAATTTTGTTATATTGTATATTTTGTTATATTATTGTATAATATTGTGATACTTATAATAGTTATATATGATTTTTAAAAATGCGAAATGTTTAATAGTATTAGTTTAAAATTTATGAATCAAAAACAATCAGTTTTTCGACGTAAAGTTTGTATTTTTAAATTTTTGATGGTAGTTTTGTTTGTTTGAGAAAAATATATATTTTAAATTATATTTATATTTTAGTTGAAGAAAAGCCTCTGCCAAGGCTTGTTTTGAAAGTAGATCAGGAGAAAAAATTAAAAGATCCAATGAGAGAGCATGATTTATATCAAAAAAGCAAGAGATTTAAAGAAGGATCCACTCTTTCGGAAAATGAACACACTCATCATAAGAAGAAAAGAAAAAAGCACAAAAGAGCTAGAAATGAGGAGGTTTATAAATTTTAACTTTAATTAAACTTTAAAGTTGTTTTATTTTTTAAAATAATAGGCTTTGCATTAGAACTCTACTTTGTCTCTAGAAATACTATACTTAACTTTGCCATATTTGAAATAACATTGTTTGTTAAAATGTTACCAGTCAAAGATTGTGGGTGACAACATGCCCCCTATTAACTTTAATAATAAGAATGATCTATTATAGTCTTGAACAGAAGATGCAATTTTTGGGAGATCTAACCATAACTTAATCTAACTATTGACAATATATGTATGTATATATAGGTTTAAACATGTTATATATGTTATGTATACACTCACATTACACACACACATGCACTTATTTTTTATCGCACAATAAAGAGATTAAAATTGAGTTTAGACCTGAATAAAATGTACCTTAGTAGAAGTAAAATATATATTTTAACCTAAGGTTTTACAAAATATATATGCATGTAAATGCGCGAGTTGGTGGGAGGAGGTGTCAATATAGTTGTGTATATAATTGTATTTTTTTTTTCTGATGAGTTTTTTACACTTATTAAATTTTAAAATAATTGTTAATAACATTATTACATGAAATGTAATGCGTTTTGCATTTTATTTTGATGCAAACACAGTTAGGAGCATATATGTAAATGCTTGCTTCATAAAAAAGTGGTTGTGAGTTTGATCTCCACCACGTCCCTTGTAGACGTTACCACGTCCCCACCGCGCTCAACTTGTTTCTTCGCGCGGCGGCCTTGTTCGTCAGGGTTCGTGTTTCGGAATTATAGAGTTAAGAGAGAATTATAACCACAATTAAGTAGCCTCCTCGTCCTTAGTGGCCTTCTTGGCCTTGGGTAGGTAAATTACCAAAAAAGAAATGTATATTAAATACTTCACTAATAACTTCCTGTGCCATTCAAAAAAGTTAGTATTAGGAGCTACAAGCGTCAATTGAAGCCATGGATTACTAAAGGAATAGTAAAATCAATTTCAATTTGAAATCTTATCCAAGGGAAAATGTAAAAGATAAAAGTAATTAAACATTTAATTAAACAAATAATTAAACAGTAATTAAACAAATAATTAAACTAAAAACTTTAAATGCTATATATATATCAAAATTGTTTAAAATAATACATTTCAAAAAATTATTTTCAGAAAATGTAAAAAATCTTTCTTAATCCTGGAAAGGCATAAAAAGTCTAATAAATGTCAATAATGTACCCCCAAATTGCATACAAGTTAACAAAACATACATAACTGAACCAACTCTAATCTGCAAAGAATTCAACAAATTTTTCACAAATGTAGCTCATAAACCCAATTCTAAAATTCTTACATTAGTTATAAAAATCTTAAGCATCCAAATCTTCATAGTTCACTGATATCTCCAACAAACCATTGTGAAATCTAATCACTTATAACTAAATTAAAACCTAAAAAATCAATTGGTCCTAACAGCATCCCCACAAACATTTTTTCTGATTTTAATTTTGAATTTTCTCATATTCTCTCTAAGCTATTTAACATTTCCTTCTTAAATATAACTTTTCCTGACATTTTGAAATTATCTTGTGTCATTCCAGTATATAAAAATGGTTCACTCTCATGTACTAACCATAGACCAATTTCAATTCTATCTAACATTAGCAAACTCCTTGAAAAACTAATGTGTTCTAGATTATACTCATTTTTGAGTTCCTTTAACTGTTTAAATGAATTTAAGTTTAGATTTTTATTAAAACACTCCCCTTGCCATGCTTTAATAATTATACCCAAAAAAATAAAAAAGCGACTGGATACTGGTCATTTTGTTGGTGGTGTTTTTATTGACCTACAAAAAGCTTTCAATACTGTTAATCATATCATTTTAATTTTCTAAACTTGAACATTACGAAATCTGAGGAATTGCTTTTAATTGGTTTCAATCTGATCTCTCAAAAAGCAGTTTGTTAGCAATAATGGTCACAAATCAAATAACTAACACATAGTTTGTGGTGTTTCCCAGGGTTCTGTTCTATTGTTTTTAATTTGTATTAATGATCCAAATTGTTCTGTCCACTTCTCATCTTTCCAATTGTTTGCTGATGATAATAGTATCTTGCATACTAATAAGCCTCATCATTTCTTGTGTAAGAATATAAACTTAGATCTGAAAGGTTTAGTTGATTGGCAAAATGCAAACTTAATTTCTTTGAACTAGATATTATACAGAAAAAACTGAAATAATATTTTTTTCATCTCCAAAATAAAAACTTTTGTACAACAATCAAAACAAACATATAACTAAAATTAAAATTAATAATAGACATTAACATTGAACACACCTTGTTAAATATCTTAGTATTTTTATAGATTCGAACCTCTCATGCAATTTTTATATAGATGCACTCCGTAAAAAAATCAATTGAGCTAATGGCATTCTTTCAATAATTTGCCAATATGTTGATAAAACTATGTTTATAAATCTGTATTTTGCAATTTTTCAATCTCATCTCAACTACTGTTGTCAAGTTTGGGGATGAGTCTGCAACTGTAATATTAATAAATTGTTATCAGCTCAGCGTCAATCAGAATAATAAATTTTCAACTCTATAAAATAGAAACATCAAACTTCTTCAAAAAATTTAAAATTCCTACCTCAGCACTAGTTAGATTTGCTAATCTTCTTTTTGTTTTTGACTCCCTTAATAAAAATTTACCTTCCTCTATTGCAACCTTTTTCACTTAAACTCGGTTTGTACATTCACATTTAATTAGAAACATCAATAATGGAAAACTAAATGTACCTCCTTATAAAACTTTGAGGTATGGTAAGTATTTAATTACACATCAGTGCATCAATGTATGGAATCGAAGTCTTGTGTGCATTTTAAATGATTTTGAAAAATTAAAACTTCAAAATAATTTTGCTTCATTTCTTTATTTAAAAAAAATAAGTTAAAACAAAATCTAAAAAAAAATTATTTAAATTTTTTATCATTTTTTCATTTCTTTCTTATTATTTTTATAGAAACTTTATTGTTTTTATCATTATTATTTTATTACTGCTATTATTATTATTACTATTACAATTATAATTATTATAAATACTTTTATTTTTTCTGTTACTTTTGCTCTATTATTGAATAAAGTTATTATTGTTAATATTATTATTTTTTAAATTAACACTATTAATATAATTATTTGGTATCACTCCTTTGATCAGGTTTTTGCATGAGTGATTCCTTCCTTGTCAATCAATTATTTACATTTATTAATAATAATGGTCTTATGATTTATATATTTAATATATTGTTGTTATTATTATTATTATTATTATTATTATTATTTTTAATATTATATTGTAATTATATGATTGTAAGTTTTAAGGAAAATAAGTATCTTTTTTTTTTTTTTTTTTTAATCATCTTTGCTTCTAACAAGGCTGCAAGCAACCACTAATTAGTGTTGGAAGTTACAGGAAGAGAAAAGATGAAGATTGTAGGGCAAGATAACGATTGACAGACGACTTAAAAGATTGCAAATTATGTGAATCAGGAAAGCAAGATGAAGGATGTGAATTTCAAAGAACTGATATTCGAGGGAAAAAACTAGATAAATAAGAGTTTTTGGAGCACTTACAAGCACTTACAGGAACAGTAACAGAAAAATGATGACACTTAATTGAATGACGAGTAGCACAAGAATGAATTTTAGTAGATGGCACAAGAGACGCTAGCTCTTTAGAGCAGTGCTTATTATAGTATTTGCAGAAAAAGAGAAAGAGAAGCAACATTACAACAATGTTACAAAAGTTGAAAGTTGGCTGCAAGAGCAGGTCCAACAATGTTTACAATGCGTTTTTGTACCTTGTCTAAAAGAGAAAGGGCATCATTAGAAGATCCGCCCCAGATATGGCAACAGTATTCCATACAAGGATGGATTAAAGATTTATAGAGATAGAGAATAGAATCCAGAGTTAGAAAGTGTTGAGCTCGATAAAGAGATGCAACTTTAACAGATGCTAATTTTTCAACGGATTTGGTATAAGGTTTCCCAGAAAGATCAGAAGTAAGAGTTAATCCTAGAAGGTGAAGGGTAGATGACTCATCGAGTACATTACTGTTCATAAATATAGGAAGGTCTAAATTATTGCGATGATGATTGGTTGAAAAAAATGATTTTTATCTGAATTAAAGTTCACCAGCCACTGTAAGCCCCATGCTGTAGCAGAAGTGAGATCCTTTTCAAGCTCAAATGCCCCTTGCAAGCAATCAGAGGGAGTTGGCTTATCGTGACAAGAATAAATGGTAGTGTCATCACATCAATCCCTTCTTAGATGTGAGAATATCCGGAAGATCGTTAATGTAAATTAAAAAAAGTATAGGGCCAAGGATTGAACCTTGAGGAGCCCCTGAGGTAACAGAATAAGAAGAAGAGTGCTGTCCATCAAGGACAACTTTTATACTACGATTGGAAAGGAAGGATTCAATTATCTTAAAGATGTTTCCTATATCGAACGCTTTAGAAATGTCAAGAGCGATTGCCTTAACCTCTCCACTTTTATCTAATGCGTGATAAAACCTATTGGTTATTACTGTTAGCAAATCAGCCGTAGAACGAGAAGATCAAAATACATATTGATGATCAAAAAGTAAGTTATTAGATTCAAGATGAGAGATTAAGTGTTTGTTAATTAAAGATTCAAAAACCTTGCTTATGGTAGGAAGAAGACTAATGGGACAATAGTTAGACGAATCAGATCGCTCTCCAGAATTTTCAAAAATAGGGATAATAGATGCTGCTTTCTAGCAGGCTGGAAAAAAGACTCTGATAAGCACTTGTTGAATAGTTTTAAAAGGCTAGACAACAGCTCTGGACAACACTTCTGCAAGACTATAACAAGTATTTTGTCCGGGCCGCAAGCTGTAGAAGAGTCTAAGCAGGAAATCATTTTAGATACAGTAGCTGGATTGATACGGATGTCGAGCAATGGTTCAACTTGTTTGACGGCTATATCAGGT